GGCCGCGCCTGCCCCGCTGTCCACATTCCCAAAGCGATAAGGTATCATACGGCAAGCCAGGATTGTCAGCAGCACTGGGGCCAGATGGAAAAAGCCCACCCTCACCACGCACCACCACCCAATCCACAGGCATTGCTGCCCCTGGCTCCTGCCTGGTCTCCTGTTCTCTTGGGAAGGAGTCAGACTCGCAAATACCAGCACACTCAAATGAAGGAGCCAGAGAGTCTTGATGGATACTTTGGCTTGCAGCTTGTTAGGCAAGAAGGGGTTTACAACACTGGCAACGCACATCCCGTAGGATCTGGATGGTTACATACAGCACCTCTGCCCTCACAAGGAAAAAAGCGCTTCTGAGCGCTCCCACCTCACGTGGTTACATACAACACTTCTGACTTTTATTTTCCCCCGTTTTCCCTTATGTGTTTGATCTTTGTTTAATTTTCTTTTATAATTTTTGCTCTGTATTCTTTTAAATGAAACTTCCACAGATATTCCAGGGCACAACCATTTCAGGTGTAAAAAGGATCTCCACATCCCATGTTTCACCAACAAAGCAATCAAGGCGTTTTGGGTACCACATTCTACTTGGGCAGAACCAGAATGTAGCCTGTATATTTCATACCAAATCCAGTTTCTGAAAGGAGAGGAAGTGTCATTAATAGCTTTAATAAAGGAGTGTGTGTGTGAGAGAGAGAGAGAGAGAAAGAGAGGGAGCGAGAAAGAGAGAAGAAGGAGGGGCATCTTGGAAGGTGAAAAGTCTAGATTTAAGGTAGTTAAAAATGAACCAATGGGTGAAACATTTTTCTTTTATTTTATGAGCTATAAATCCTTTTAAAAACGGAAGGGGTGAAATGGAGGGAACATTTTATGCCTTTCGACTGCCCACAAGCCCAGCGTACTCTGGATGGAAAGTGGAAGTTAATATACACTGCACCAAAATTATTAAGGGAAAGGGGGGGCGGAGCTGTGAAATGCTATTGTAATCACAAGAGAAAAGGTGCCCCTGCCCCAGCTCTGGATCTCAAGTGGTTCTTTCTCTACAGTATCATCTCAGCCCAGTAACCCCACGAAAGCCCTGAGCCGTTGTGTTCCTTCACTGTACGGTTTCTGTAATAAGAGTGTTAATCCATGTTAATCTTTGTGAAAATTATTGTGTGCAACAGTATTTTCTTGTGTACTGCTTTTTACCTATGTGAATTGTCCCTTTTCTGTTTTCTTTTTTTTCTTTCCTTCCTCTTTTTTCTTTTTATTTTTTCTTTTAGTAATATGTCTTTCTTCTTTTAAAAGAAAAAACAAAAACAAACTGATGTGTTGTAGACCTATATGTAACCTATTCCTTAGTCTCATATTATAGGTATGTTATAAGAATGGATATTTTACTTGGCTTTAGAATGTTTTACAAGAAAACTAATTCTTAACCAATCAAGTTCTTGCTACTAAAAAAAAAAAAATGCTTGTGTTTTTCATCATGACGTTGTGTGCTTCTAATTAATAATCATTTTCGTTGTAGAAAAATGGAGTGAATTTATATTAGTCTTGGAAACTAATAATAGCATTGTAAATTTATGAGATGATTTTAACAGAAAATACATTATAGAAGAATATAGTTATTTTAATTGTAATATTACTAACTGTAGGGTGAGAAAGGAGGTCCCGTTGTGGTGAACTATGTTATAGCTTGTTATTCACGGTTTCTTTTTGATCATTTTTTCGGTCTCTGAGGTGAAACGAGTTATTAATCAGAATTTGTCAACTCACATATGCATATTGTATATGTGTAGAAATGTAATCACACTTTGTCTTGGAATTACATTAAACTGTTTTAAGTCACTGCAAAGTTTGTGTGTCTGTATGTCTTCTCTCTAGTTTGGTCTGAACATTTGGTTAGTTTTCAGATCCTATTATTTAATCTCCTCAGTCTATTGGAAAAACAGCACTAATGGTATCATTAATAATAAATAGTTTTCCCTTTGAGGTGACATGTTTAGATTTGCGAAATGCATCTTGTTCCCAGGGCAGAAGAGCATCTGCGTTCAGATGCTTTGCCAAAGCACAGAAGGCTGCTCAGAGCCACCGTGTGCAGCTCTGTCAAGAGCTCTCTGCCGCATCCCACAGTGCTGATTGGAGGGTGGATATCGGCTGCAAATATAGGGCTGGTTTTCCTTTTAGCCTGAGCTCTCACTTCATTTGCTCCCTTTCCTTTCTTTGCTAAGTCCCAGCTGAGCTTTGAAAGGCTTAAGTAGACATTAAGATGCTGAAACCACCACCTGTTGGCAATTGCCACACCTGCCTTTTGGGCTGTGCCTAATTCTCACTGGGAGGGTCACTCAGGAGCAAGCTGGAGGCATCTGCAAAGGGTCCCCTATTATACCATAGCATCACCTTGGAGGAGGCCAGTGGCTCCTCAGCAGCTCCTTTTAATGGAGGGAGAGTAAGACCGACCTGGATTTGTTGCTGACGTTTCCCACCGCAGTGACTCATGCGCAAGCTACTAGGTTTCCAGCCTGTGGGATTCATCTCGTTAATTCAGCTTCTCCCTTCCTTGAGATGGCCGGAGCCATGTTCAAAGAGCTGTACCGGGCTGCACTTTGCATTTGGTGTCCGGCAAATGGCTTCTGCAGTCGTGTGGTAACCGCCGGATGGCCCTGCACAGCACTGCCGGGCGACGGGATCGCGTCAGGACACAAACCTTCAGGAGGCTCGTTTTATGAGTGAGTATTGCCAGCTTGGTTTTTCAGCCTTCTCTCTAAAGACTCCCTGAAATAAGCAGGGAGCACTGCAGAAACTGTTGCAATGAATTTCTAGGTGGACATAAAACTTTTGGTAACAGGAGGTCACGGGCCCTTTCTCCCAGCTGCCGTGAACTGACTGAGACCCCAACTCGGTAAAAGCAATTAAAGCTGTAATGTCTCTGCCTGTCCAGCAGACCAATTAAGTCAATGTTTAATTTAAAATCATGTGTCCTATTAAACAGCTAACAGGTAATTGCACAATTAGATGCTCTGCTGGAAATGAGGAGTTTACTGGGTCATGATATGAGAGACACTAGTGAGTGATCTAAGCTCAGAAACAGCTGCAAATCTAGAACAGCTAGACTAACCAATGCAGAGTTTCTCCATGTGTGTGTTGTGTTACCGCGTCTTCTTTATTTGTTTCTTCTTTTTGTAAAACTTACCTGTAAAACTTACCTATAAAACTGTAAAAGATCTTTGTCACTCTGTCATCCAAGACCAAAATAGATTAAAATGCATCATTAGTTGGAGAATGTACTTTCTGACTATCTTTTCCTGGAAAGGGAAAATGGTTTCTCAATTTAAGCAGGGCTGCTTCTAATATACCTGCATTGCCTTGTGAAAGGAAACAGTGAGGGGTTCAGCCACCTCAGTAAGAGACTGAGAAGGGTCTTCTCAAACTCACTAGAGTGCAGTAAATGTCAGCACCCGGAGAGCACAGTCCTGAGCAGCTGGTACAAATTACTGCCAACAAACTTGAGCTAATCCAGCTTCTTTCTGGGCCACAAGGAATCTCTGCTGGTGCTTTGAGAGCATTTGCCTCAATCAGACTGGTTTATTCCAGGTAGGTATGGCTCTTGCTTAAAATTGGGAACGTGGGGGATACACCAACGTGGCCTAATGCACAGTGGTGCTGCTGTTTCTGGCATGTGCTGCTTATGCTTTCCAGTGCAGCAGCTATGTTTTAATTCTTTTAGAGTCCAGAGATTGGCACCTGAATTTGTATTTATGCATATGAGGAGAGCTTGTCTGACTTTCAATGCAGCTCTGCCCTCCTAGTTGCTATTCATGTCAAATCAAAGTGGAAGTGTCTGGGAGAAGGAAGGGAAATGGTCCTGCTCTGTGAAACACAGGCTGTTGCCTTTTAGTCACCTGTGCAAGTGTGTTTTGGATCTGCATCTTGTAAATTCTCGTGTCTTCTCTTCTTACTATGCTGGTCAGGCCACAGCAATTGCGCCTGCATCAGCATTTCCTGCAATGCGCTTTGTCTTTATGTTTTCTCCTGCTAGGTGGCTGTGCAAATAATGAGCAATAAAGGCTGTTATTTAAAGGCCCCCTTTAAATAACACCGCATTGTATGTCAAAGTCTTTGCTGTTTGGGGCTTTTGCTCACAGGGAAGCAGCCGCTGGAGGAGCTCAGTGCACGGATCCAGAGCTATGCTAAAAACTATTTGTCAAAGCAGCAGGCTGGGACAGGAGCAGGCTTCTTCAGGCAGCACTGTCAACCCTGGGAACCCAGCACAAGCCAGGGAGCAGCACTCCATCCCCATGGGGACTCGTCACCCCTTGTTAACACTGTAAGAAATTCCAATGTGTAAGGCACACCAGGTAGCTTAAAGTACACTTAACTCCAGGCTGTGTTTGTGTACAGACTTTTCCAGACACATCCAGACACGTGGTTTTGGGGCACAGGAGGCATCTGGAACACTTCCCATTTGTACTTGAACAGCATATTGCCTCTGGTGTGTGAACTCATTAAATACAAAAAAAGTCACTTCTCCTTCCCCTTTTTTTTATTTCAAGCTTATTAAAAAATAAATTAAAACTTGTTGTAATGTCATGGGGAGGGAGGAGAATAAGGGGAAAAGTACAGTTAAAAAGAACTTACTGTAACTCACAATACTGTGACTGGACCCTGTGTCAAAAATTCCCATCCTCTCTAGATACTCAGGAATGGTCTGAAAACTACAGAGAAGAATTCATACTCCCACAAACAATGAGGCTGCTACTGACTTCCACCTCAATGGACCAGGGTTTGGGTCACAGTTCCATCATGGTGCTGCTGGGCTGCTCAAGAAAAGCTCACTTGGGTTTTCTTGAGGATGTTTCTTCCACACTTAATCTCTCTCTCTCTCTCTCTCTCTCTCTCTCTCTCTCTCTCTCTCTCTCTTTCAGACAGCAACAGGCCTCCTCAGGAGTTTACAGATTAAGAGTCATAAGAATAACAAAGGCGGGCCTGGAAGCAGATCACGGGAGGCATCAATGAAGGTTCAACCGTTCTTTACCTGAACGTGCTAGATTGTCTGTCCTGTACCCTGTACTTTATGATGTGGAGAAGCAGATATCAGAGCTCTGCTCTCCCTTGTATCAGTGTGCTGGTCACATCTCCCTCCTAATACCTTCTTTCCTGGGTTCAAAATACCCCCTTCTCTTTTTTTTTTAAGTGATTGCTTTCCTGCATGATCCTGTTTCCTCACTTCTCCTCACAACCCTTTATTTTCTCTCAATGTGGTGTTAACCCCAGAGGCACAAGAGAGAGGGCTGTGGCCTGCGAGTGGCAGTGGTGGGTAGTGGAGAGTGACAGGAAAAGCAAATCCCATTAGGCTGGGTTTGGGTTTTTTAAGGCTTTAAAGTAATACCAGGTATGATGTTTACAGGGAGGCAAGGCCTGGACACATCTGTCTCCTGTGACAAGATTATGAGGAGCAGCTGAGGGAGCTGGGGTTGAGCCTGGAGAAGAGGAGGCTCGGGGTGACTTTATCAATCTCTACAACAACCTGAAAGGAGGCTGTAGCCAGGTGGGTCAGTCTCTTCTCTCAGGCAACCAGCAACAGGACAAGAGAACGTAGACTCAAGCTGCACCAGGGGAGGTTTAGGTTGCACATTAGGAGGAATTTCTTCACAGAAAGCTGATTATACATTGGAATGGACTACCCAAGGAGGTGGTGGAGTCACAATCCCTGGAGGTGTTTAGGGAAAGCCTGGATGTGTGCTGGGAGCCATAGTCTGGCTGATATGGTGGTGTTCTGTCATAGGTTGGACTTGATCTCAGAGGTCTTTTCCAAATAAATTGATTCTGTGATTCTGGGGTCCAGCATTACTGGGAAAGGCAAATAACGGCGATGAAATGCTTTGATACCACATACGAGGGAAAATGAAACACAGCTGAGGGGGTAGCAGGCAAGGGGTCG